TGTGTGTGTGTGTGTGTGTGTGTGTGTGTGTGCCTGTGCGTTTTTGTGCTTATGTTTATCTATGTGTGCATGGCTGTGCATTCTGGAAAAAAAAAATAATTTTTGTCCCCTTCGCTGGGTTTGGCCGTTGTGTTTCATTTCCTCCTCTTCATTCTCTGCGAACTGCGAACGTGTGTATGTTTTAATTTTCCCTGTTGCAAGCTGGATTTTTGTCAGTCTTTTGAATGGGAACCGGGTGTGAGTGTGAGAAGAGCGAAGAGCGCCAAACGCCTGTTGCTTTTACTTGCAGTTCACAGTGATAGATTCATTTATTGTTTTCCCTGTTGGCGTTGTTGTTGCTGCTGCTGCTGTCAATGTTGTGGTTGTTGTTGGTGGTGGTGATGTTGTTGTTGATGACGTTGTTGTTTTTTGTTGATGTTGTTGTTGTTGCTGTTGTTGTTATTGTTGTTTTTGTTGTTTTCGTTGTTGTTGTTACCCTTGTCGTTGTTGTTATTGTTATTCTTGTTATTCTTGTTGTTGCGGCAGCTGCTGCCGTTTCAACTGCTGCTTCTGCTGCTTTTGCTGTTGCGACTGTTGCTGCTTTAACTGCTGAAGCTTCTGCTGCTTGTGGTGCGTTTGCATCTTCGCTTGCCTGTTGGCCTGCTTCCTAGCGAACGAAAGGTAGGGAAAACATGCAATAAGCGGCTTGGAACAAAGACGAGGATTACGCCGAAACGAAACAAGACGAGCCATTCACGCCTGAGATACGTGTAGTATAGTGTTACCCAAAGCCTCTACATTTACGAGAGGATTAGGCCCAGACAAAAATAACTACCGGAACCACGGAGACCGGTCGCGCCGGATCTCCCTTGTCTAGACCATGGAGACATCTGAACCTTGCGGTTCCGTCTGAGAGTCAGACAGACTGAATAAATAAGAAATAAGAGTGCCATCAAAGAGCTTATAGAGTCCAGATTTATACTGTACAGAAGAAAAAAAATAAAGTCTCTGTCTCATCGTGTGCGCGCATCGGGAAAGAAAGAGGAGAGAGGGGGTAGGGGTAATTGGCACTTGTGTAAATGAATCGGTTACAATGTGGCAGTGGTGTAGTGTAGGCCTAATGATCAGGGTCTCTATATTGTGACGCGAAAGAAGTTTATTGGAACGAGGTGGGGGAAGGAACGAAGCGGGGAGTGGGGATTATAATACAGGGTGTCCCTCTCTAGACGCGCCACGAGGAAAATACACTGGGCCTTTACAATGGCACCAAAGTGCACAGATATTATTATTGAGAAGGAAAACAAAAAGCTAACCAGCGGAAATTTCCGATGACGTGGTGCATCCAGCGGGAAACACCCTGTACTTTCCATTCATAGTTCATCTTCATCGACTGGTCGACTGGCGCATGAAACGTTGATTACAGTTTCAGTAGTTTGTGCATACCCAAACATTTCCCATCCACGAACAGGGACTCGGCGCGAACGTGCTGGGGAGGCTTGGCCCGTTCTCTAGGGCACCGCCCACTCCTCCCTTCCGTTCTGCCATTAAGGTACGTTCTTTTTTGCTTTCGCCTTTTTGTCCCCCC